TAACTACATTAAATACTTAATTTCCTTCCTTCTCTTCCAAGACTTCCAGACTCACGACCCTGCTCGATCATGTTTGTCTCCCTGTACTTCGCTCCTCCTCCCCTCGCTCGCTGGCTACTACTCGCTATCAACCTCTCTCTCCCGTGGCTTCTCTCTCTTCTCTTTTTCTACTCGCCTCGATCATCTCTCTCGCGATTCCTACACTCCTCCGCCTCTCTCACTTTCTCACTCTCACACACACGCCCCCTCCTCACCCTCGGCGGGGCCCCATCCCCCTCACTTGCACCAGTCCCTCTGTCTCCCCCTGTCTCTCAATTTTGGGCCGTCCCCTCGCTCCACTCTCCACAAACACGCCTCTGCCCCTTTCAGCCCTTCTCGGACGCTGATGTGTAGCTGAGCGACTGCATTGATGCCCCCGTTCTCGGCAAAATTGAACATTCCCGCGTTGGTTGTCGCGGATGCGGGCTGTGCCGGCTGCGAGGCGCCGAACTGGAAGGGCGAGTTGGCCGATGCGACGGCAGGCGACGTGCCGCCGGCGCCAAACTGGAAGGGCGAAGCGTTCCCCGACGTCGGGGCTGCCGGCGCTGAGGATCCTGCGCCAAAGTTGAACATGCCACCGGACGGGGCAGGCGATGGCGCCGCCGTCGCACCGGTGCTGCCGAAGCTGAAGGGGTTGTTGAAAGAGGCCGCGCCGCTGTCGCCACCGCTGCCGAATGTGAAGGAAGAATTTGCGGATGCTTGTCCTTGAGGCTGGGACGCGGCCCCGAACAGGTTGCCCGCAGGCGCAGGAGTGCTCGACGCGCCGCCAAAGCTGAACGGCGTTGTCGACGACGGCTCGGTGGAGGAGCCACCAAAGGCCTTCTTGGCCGGCGGCTCACCAGACTTGTCGTCCTGCTTCATCGGGCTGCCGCCAAAGATGGGAGCGTTGGAGGCGGAAGGTGGCGAGAGGGTCTTGGAGGCGGCGCCGAAGAGGTTGTTCGTCTGGGAGGGCGCGGCGTCACCTGCGCTAGTAGCACCGAAGGTGAAGGGCTTGGCGGTGCCGGCGCCAAAGCTGGGAGGAGGCGTGGGTGTCGTGGGCTTGCTGAAGAGGCTGGAGGCGCCGTTGCTTCCGGCATCGCTTCCCGTCGACGGCTTCGCACCGAAAAGGCTCGAGGCGTTGGCATTCGTTTGCGATGACGATCCGAAGAGGCTTGACGCGTTCGCAGTCGGCTGAGACGACAACCCGAAAAGGGTCGAGGGCGCCGAACCGGCGGCAGACCCGAAAAGGTTGGACTTGGGTGGCTCGGCCGCCGGTGTCGCGTTGGAACCGGCAGGCTTGCTGGATCCTCCAAACAGAGTAGACGACTCCAAGACTGAGTCCTTTGGTTTGTCCTGCGCGCCAAACAGGCCGGACGCTGGGGGCGTGGAGGCCTTGGTCTCGTCGGCCTTGGGGGCACCAAAGGTGAAGGTAGGCGTCGCAGCCTTGGGGGCCGACTCGACGCTGGGCTTTGGCTGGAACAGGGACGAAGCGCTGGCAGACTCAGCTGGCTTGGGAGCAAACCCGCCAAAGAGTGGCTTGGGTGCAGGCTGGGAGTCGTTCTCCTTGTCGGACTCGCCCGACTTGTCTGGTTCCGCTGACGCGGACTTGGCCGGAGCCGGCTGCTCCTTGGCTGGGGCGTCCTGCTGCGTTGGCGCTCCAAAGAGGCTGGAGGCAGGAGACGGCGTCGACTTGGCCGCGCCAAAGAGCGAGCTTCCGTTGGTGGTCGAGCTTCCAAAGATGTGGCTCGCGGCACTAGCCGGGGCCGCGGCACCAGCCGGGGCAGCGGCACCAAACTTGATCGGCGTGTCGGGCGTCCAGGTGGCATTGACTGGTGCAGCAGGAGCTTCCTTGACCGGGCTCGCAGCCCTGGCCTCGGTTGCGGCGCTGGTGGGCTCGATGCTCTTGCTTGTCTCGACAGAGCCCGCGCGCACAGGTTCCCCGGTCTGGTCCTTGGTGACGCGGTCGAACAGGCTTCGACCCGGCGTGGATTCCCTAGAGGCCGCGGCCGAGGGCGCGCTCGGGAAGAGAGACTTTTGAGGCGCCAAGAGGCTGCTCGCCGGTTGCGACGACGGCGTGTCGGCCCCGCCGCTGGCGACGACGCTGGGCTCGTCGCTCTGACGACCGGTATCCTGCGTGTCGGCCTCGTCCTCTTCCGAGTCTGACTCGCTTTCAGCATCAGCATCCACTCCACTATTCTTCGCGCTTGTATCGGAGAGGTATCCAAAGATGTTACCCGGGCCTTCGGATTGTTTCAGATTTTCAAAGACGGAACGAGCCGCAGCAACGTCGGCGGGCTTGGAGACGGGAGCAAAGGGGTTCGGTTTTGGTGCCGAAGCGGGTGCGGATGACTGCGTCGTACCTTGCGGGGGTGTCGAGCTCGTCGATGGCTTATTGTTGAAAGCGCTCTCGAACATGGACCTCGTGGCGGAGGGCGTTGACGACTTCTGCTGCTTGGAAGGCTGGCTTTCCTCGGCCTCGTCGCTGACAGAAGCCTTCCTCTTGTTGTTGCTCGGGGCAGGCGTGGCAGAGGGCGCCTCATTCTTGTCGAATGCGCGCTTCTTGTTCGCCGACAGAGGTGCCGCGGACGAGGATGCATCGGCCGACCTCAGGTCATCGTCGGCCTTGCGCTTCGAGGAGCCCGACTTGGCGCCATTCTGCTTGACCGGCGTGGAAGCACCTTCCTCTTCGTCGGGCAGGCCGTGCGCAGCCCGCCATTTTCGGAGGACGTCACCAGAGGGCTTGACGTTTTTGAATTCATAGAGACCATAACGCAGCATGATCAAGCTCCTGCTCTTCTCAAACTCCTTGGCAAAGTTCATAATGTTCAGCTTCCAGTCTTTCTTCGCAAACACTTCATTTGCCGAATGCTTCAGACGGCGCAGATCGAGAATGCAGAAGAGCTGACGGCGCTGCAGGTCGTCATACTCGCGAGGGACGTATTCCTGGAGGAACTGGTCGGCGTAGACGGTGCCCTTGGAGTCGAGATGCGAGGGAACCTTCTTGGCGAGAGCCTCGCCCGAGAGCTCGGGCGGCGGGGAGGGGATGCGCATGGTGAAGAGCTCGGCCGACGTCGATTTGGCCATCATGCCGCGCGGTGTCGCCTGCGCTGTCACGTCCCGGTAGACCTTTTGGGAGACGGGGGTACCGCCAGGGGCGAAGACCTTGGTCCTCGTGTCGGCTGGCAGCTTGGGAGCAAAGGGAGTTGTAGAGGAGTTGTTGCTGATGGAGGAGGATCGGAAAATATTGCGCGAGGCAGAGACGGATGAAGAGTGGCTGTCGAAGGTGCCCGTCGCGGGCTCATCGCGGTGGAGGGTCTTGCGCGACGGCGCAGTCTGGGGGGTGGACAGGCGCTTGTTGGGATTGAGAGGTGACGCCTGGTAGACGCGGTTCGTGGCAAACTTGAGGCCCGGGCGGCTACGCGGCGTGGCGTTGTGATCCATGATGAAGGATGGAACTGCCTGCTGGAGGTGTGAGGAGGAAAGAAGGGGATGGAGGCAGAGAAAAGGGTGACAAAGGAGGCGGTTGACGGGCGAGATTTGTTGGGATCGTCGAGTACCTTACGAAGGAAGGACCGAGATCGGGATCGGAATCAAGATCGGGTTCGCGTCAAGAGTGGCGCTCCGCCTTGGGTACACACACAGACGGAAGAAAAAGGGTGATGCGCGGTCGTCGTGATGGAAACGGTAGGGAAGTACCGTAGGTAGGAAGGAACAAGAAGAGTCGACACGGTTGCAGGAAACGCGTGTATCGCCGAGAAAGGGTGGTGGAGGGAAAGAGTAAACATCCAAAACTCGGGCAGCGACACGGGTGTTTCAGAAGGCCATCGATGGAAAAAGGGGGGAGAGGAACGCAATCTCTTTGACGAGGCTTC